CCTATATATATATAGTTGTAATAATTTTCCTTTGTCTCCATAAAGGGCTGTGTAGAGCTACCGTGCCTTTTGCTGTACCATAGTGGGCGGACCAGGAAGCCAAGGGACCGACACAGAGTTGCACCACCGTACTTCAAGCCATAACACTGAGGAAACCGATTCAAAGAAGTATACAGTACGAGAAATCATGCAAGAACTGAGGGACTAGCCATCCACCGACAAAGACACCGCTTGGAAGGTTTCGCAGAACGCACTAAAAGCCAGTTCAGTTGGCCTTCCACCAAAAAACAGCTTGTGTGGAATGAAAAGTCAAACGCACAGCTCCCCCAAAGAGGGTCGATCCATAAAGGAGTCGAGCCTTTTGAGTTATACAATCCAGATTTTACCTGGTCAATCAGGCTCCACGCACATGCGCTGCTGCATGTGCTTTCAATGCTGTTGCTTTCAATTGCTGATCAGAATGGATATTAGAACAGAGTACGGATGCCACAGATATATTGGTTTCATTTAGGCTACCTCAAAAAGTTCTCACATGCGTCAGACAAAGCGACAACTGCAGCGAATCTGTGTAAACAGAGAGCAATTTTCACCAAGTTTAGGATATATTGTTCAACTCTTCATCCTGACAACTTGTTGAAAATCGCTATAAACCAACAATCAGCTTGCGAAGCCGCCGACAGCTCTGTCATATGGCACTTCTTAACCAAGAAAACTGCTTCCGGAATCCCTACTTCACTTGTCCGCTCACTAATTTCCAAACGTCTACAGAGAATTCTCCGGAATTCGTAAAAACCTCTCTTGCCGTTGCTGTTCTGTAATCAACATGATTATGAACGAATCGCTTAAACTTCTATCTTCTTTACAGAGAAGGCCCCACAGACGAACGACATCGTGGTTCGGACCCCATCCAGAATACAAAATACACCCAGTGGCTCAACGTGTCTGGTCTCTGGCTTCAGAATGAGCTTTGCAACATCGAAATGCAAGACCCTACTCAAAGCACAGATGAATACATCACCTTGTCTAGTTATAGCAACCCAGAGTATTCATCCGGGTAGTTGCACCACTTTTGCTAGCATCCTCGCCAACGGATTGTGTGCGTTCAGCTTGATCACTTATAACGTCATCGGGAAGAATGTACAGTTTCGCAACGCGACTGGTGCTTTTACGTGGGTGCAGACTGGTAAATTTGCGCGAAATACAGAGAACGACCATCGATGTCTACAGCATCGCACAGGCACTTGGTTCAAGCACTGGCAGGGACGACATGGTTCAAGTGGTTAGAGCGCGAATCTACTGGCCGCAAAGTTCGTGGTTCGAACCCAACCTCTGCAACTCGACTTCCCCTGTCTAGGCATGGTCAACCCAGCTGTATCCCAGCCCGCGTGCTTCTTTCTGGTGGCATGGCAGCTAGGCACCGATGGGTGCTACAGCTGAACGATTTTTTACTGGCAGGTTGCCCAGTAGATGCCTGGTCGAAAGTGTGACAAAATTACATCCTGTAAGTGAGGCCAATCTATGCTGAAAAGCCGAGAGGCACTGTACAGCTGCTTCATCCTTATTGGGAATCATCAGCAGCGCGTATCTCACGAAACTCCGAAGAGTCTCGAACCCGCGACCTCACGGCTAGTAGTTTGAACACTTAACCGTTAATCACACTGCTGATCAGCCACTCGTGGCCGAACGGTTAAGTGTTCATACTACTAGCCGGGAGGTCGTGGGTTCGAGACTCTTCGGAGTTTCGTGAGATGCGCACTGCTGATGATTCCCAATAAGGATGAAACTGCTGTACAGTGCTTCTCGGCTTTTCAGCATAGATTGGCTTCACTTACATGATGAAATCACCACAAAAAATCCCAAATCTTCTCAATACCAACAAGAATTATATCCATTGCGCCGGCCTGATTGTGCGTTACGATGCCTGAAGACCATTTGCCAAAGCAAGCCTTATCTGCACTGTCAGATATGAGTTGGGAGAAGTCAACAGGACGGGCTACGACACGACGAAGAAGTACTAAAAGTCCAACTCACGACCTTAATCACGTCCTTGTATACCGTCTACCAGGGTGGGGAACTAAATCCAGTCACCGAACATGTAGTCGGTATGAGTAATTCGCAAAATCAATGGCACCGTCTTCTGCGACCCATCATCCCCACTCCCCAAGTTTGCTTCTCCCGTTTCGTCTTCGATACCTTTACGTCATGGATGGCTAGAAACTGTGGTGATCGGAGCCACCATACCAATGGTTGCAAAGCAGAACAGAAGAGGGGGCGCTTGGTTTCTTCATGGGAACCGCATATTAAGTCTACATTAGGGGGAAACTGTTGTGAAAGCTCTGGAGGACTATTCTACCTTCGGAGGGGCTTTTCTCGAGGAATTTGCCGTAGCTACGATAAAAGATACCCAGCGAAGTCATTTCCGCTTCACGAGACAGTTCACAAGTAAATACGATCCACCTACCAAAGGAAAAAAGAAGTCTAAACAGAAGAAGGTACCAGCCTTGGACACTAGAGTATCCCGAATTCATTGCCTCAAGAGGGTACGTCTCGGCATTGGATGAAAGAAGAATAAACTTTACGCAGTAAAACTTCAGGCCGAAATATTGTTGTTATGGATAGTGTCAGCAAAAGAGAAAAAAAGTCCCGAATTCATGAATCAGAATTTACTAGTAGTTCATCTAGCAGACTAACTCGGCGATCAATTAGACTATATGATGGCGGAACCAAAAAAGGCCATCCAAGAGGTCTCTTGGAACCAGCTTCCGGATAACTTTAACTTACCTCCTTCGAACCTAAAAGCGATAATTTGTCCCCATGCAGGTTGAAAAAATGAAGCCATAGGAAATGTCGGTGGTATCGCAAGGATGGTAGATCTTTCTCACTGTAAATTAGTAGAGACAATGAGTGCAGAAGGTGATCCAGGAGTGTCTTTCCGGAACAAGCAAGTCCCTCTGCATTCTCAGGAGTAATGAGCTTGTGGCTGGGTAGGATAGGGAGCCGAAGAGTATCGAAATCTTTGCGCAAGCATTGACAGGCAAAGTTAATTCGACGATTGGCCTGGAAGTAGAGAGCAGATCAACCGAGTTCGGTAGGGATATGTGTTTGTTAATCGAGAAAATGGTGATAGCTCAAATGAGGACTGTTGCGTAAAAACCACTTACCGATTGTCACGTTTCGCTTCTTAATGATGCACTGATGAAAGCACTCCGATTGGTAATGAAACGTTTACACTTGAACAGCTGAGACTAATAACCAAGCTAATAACCAGGGATGCGTTTGGATGAACTCATCATCATCATCATTGTCAGCTGTAATAACCGCGTACTTGTCATACAGTGGTTGTAGCTGCCACACTGTCAGTGGGCTATCGAGTGGGGTGGGGGTGGAAAAGGAGCTATGCAGTGAAGGTAATAGCTTGGATGCACGAGAGCAATTGAGGGCGCGACTGGGCCATGTTTCTAACCATTGATATGGCCCATCTAAGGGTCCCCATCCAAGAAGACGGCAGTGACCAGCGCAGCTGAGTTTGCTGGTAATGGCTTTCATACTTCGCTGCCAAGTCATTGTTTGACCGCCTCTGGCTCTCTTCCACCCTTCACGTGGTTGTGCGAAAAGAGCTCTTCGAGGAAGTCGGTCGACCGGCATACGCAACACGTGGCCAAGCCAGCGCAACCTATGCAGTGTGATCAGTTCATCTATCGAGGGTAAGTTATTTCTCCCGAATACCATTCGACGTACTTCAGAATTGATGATCCGGTGTTCCCACCAGATTCGGGTAACGCTCCGAAGACATCCATGGTCAAACACTGAAAGTCCTTTGACATCCTCGGCGCGCAGCGGCCAGGTTTCTGATCCATATAGTGATATGGTGCGCACCAATAATGAAAAGAGTCCACTTGACAATATAGAAAAATTTTTACGGAATGGGCGGGAAGGTGAGCACTCGTAACTTCTACCGCCACTAACAGCCGTCCAAATGCTTTGGTTATCTGCTTATTTCTACGTCACTCATTTACTTCACGCTTGAAAATAACGCATGACAAAACAAGGAAAGCTAGAGTCCGGAAAGCCCAATGGTTAACGACGCAGACTTCCGTTTTGGATCTCGGGTTCGCATCCCTGTGCGGACGTCAACAAAAACGGCTGCCGGTTCCTACCTTGAAATACTGTACACATGGTGTCCCGCCTGTAAGGGTGTAAAAGATATTTTTCGACTTCCACACTTAACAACAGTGTTGATAAGGGAGCGAGATGGCTCAGTGGTTAGAGGGCGAATCTACTGACCGCAAGGTCCGTGGTCAAAACTCTACCTGTGACTATCGACTTCTTCTGTCTAGGCTTGGGCAACCTGGCAGTATCCCAGTCCTCGTGCTTCCTTTGGGTGGCATGGCAGCTAGGCACCGAAACGGTGCTACAGCTGAACGATTATTATTTACTATCTTTGGCCTGTAAAACATTGAAACGCACTGCGCAAGGTTCGATTGACTAAGCATCACTTCAAAAACACACGCATCTAATCATCTCTCGTGGGGATGCCTCAGTCTGGACATATGGCCGTAAGGAAGCTCACTCATAAAACAAGGAAAAGGCTGACAAGCGATAGTGGGAATCTACACGAGGGTCCCCAGATGTGAGACTGTATGTCTCGGACAATATGTGAATTGGTGGGGGCTATTCAGCAAACAGTTCAGAAAAAACTTACACGCGTAGTATCTACGGGTGTGTCAACCGAGCCAAAGGCTTCTTGAATGGATGTACAATCCAGTCGTTCGTACAGGATATACTGAGTTAGCGGATCAATAATGTGTGAAGTAAAGATAGGTTCTTCCGCCACATTGTCCAAAGTGCTACAAAGAACCAAAAATGGAGCAGGGATATGATAAAAAGCGGTTACCTCTATTAGGAAAGTATGCAAGTTATTTTGAAGCCATCGGATCTAGTCATGACCTTGAAAAACCTCTTCAATAGCTTTATTAACTAGTGTGAAATAGGAAGGGATCGATAAAATCCAGTCACCACCACAGTTTCAGCGAAACTTACAATAAGTATGCAGATGCACGGGCTCAACTAAGAATTGACCTCCACCAGTGGACCTATAAGAAGATCTAACTTCAATCAATTGGAAAATGTTTGAGACCGATAAGTAGGTTGGTTTTTAAGGCAGTCAGGGAACCAATCCGTGAGATTCCTTATGACTAGTGACGTGATCAGTGCTGGGTGTTCAGTCTGATCTGATGGTTTGTTGATTAGTGGGGATGACTAAGCTTTACGATAGATTGGTTGGGGGGGGGGGTTCGCTTTT